GCTGCTACCCGTGCAATGCGTGAACACTTCCATAGCGCAGGCTACACCGAAGTGATGCCACCAACGCTGGTTCAAACTCAGGTTCTGTGAATTTAGCAGATTTAATCTATGATCTTGTAACTGAGAAAGCACAAAAGACGAATTTTTCCTTTTTTTTGGCTCTGAAAACAGAGAAACTACTATGGTTTGGCACAGAAATTTTCAGTAGTTTTCACACAGAAATTTCAGTGGGTTAGCAACTTCAAGTAGTTTTCCATACTTAAAATTTTGATGATTAAATTCATGAATTGCTTGGTGCTTTGATGATAAAACTGTTTTTTTTTTATAATTTGTTATTGCGGCGTTTTTTCCGGTCTGTGTGTCCGTGTGTCTGTGTGTGCATCTGTCACGCACTTTCATCTCAAGACATATAAAAGCTGTAGGGCTGAAATTTCGGGAACTTAATCTACATGTACGTGCCGGCTCCAATCCCTAAAATTGGCGCAATCACCCGCGTACGGGCTCGCCAAAGTTTTTTTGGGGTAAGTTCATAACTCGGGGATCTGAGAAGCTAGAACGCTGAAATCTTAGGGGGATATTCCTCGTCTAACTGGATGTTAATGCACTCAATCCCATCCCTCGGTTAAGCGTGATACCTGCGTACGAGCCCGCCAAAATTTTTTTCGATAATTTATATGAAGAGGGACACAGAAGCGTAAAGGTGCAGTTACATCGGCTGAGTAGGACCATCAACCCTAGGGCACCTTGGTTCGTGACCAGAGTCAGTCATCCCGCAAAATGGGAAATGTAAAGGCGAAGGCCCTCGCTTACCTACGTTCAGCTGGAATGTCATCGAAAGATAACCTCAGCTTTTACTTTATTTTATATTTTATAATTTTGACTGGGAAGAGGGATATAGAGGCAAAAGTTTCGCTTTTACACAACCTTGAAGTTTTGTGTGGTATATTTTTCGTCCTAATCGAGATTCCTTTATAGAAAATTAACGGTTTCTGTGTTTCTCTTAATGATGCCAAGCTGAGTTTTAAAAAATTTTCGTGGTTGTTGATGGTGGAATAGGGAATTAGGAGACAGGGGAACTAAAGTTGTGTATTTATAGTTAATTTTCACTGTAGGCTTGCATCAAATGGCAGTTTGTGAGGCTGAAAACGGCTGTGTCAAAAACTAGTTCCACAGCACGACGGCAGTTGGATCTTAGAAGGCACGGCTGAAAAGAGTTTAATATGAGGGAATATTAGAAAGGTATTTTGAAGTAGGAAGAAGAATAAAAGAGGAAATAATATTAAGAAATTAGTAAAACTAGAAAAATTATTTTGTTAAATACGAGGGGAATAGCGGTACCGATAGAATATTTTTGCAGATGCGTTTTGTGCACTAATCGGCACAAAGCAGTCGATTTTTTTTTTTTTTTTTTTTGAATTTAAGAAGACGATTTTGCTATGGCTGTTTGGAAACGATAGCCTTCTTCTGACATGACAAATTGATTTTTTTTTTTACAGGTGGAAGGTGGATCAACCCTATTTGAGCTGAGCTATTTTGGTGAGCCATCATTTCTGACCCAATCATCGCAACTGTATTTGGAAACCTGTATTCCTTCGCTGGGCGATGTTTTTTGCATTGCTCAGTCTTACAGGTTTGAAATTCATTTTTTCGAAAAAAAAAAACCTCTTTTACGAGATCTGGCTGCCTTGGTGATCAACGAAAGCTGGAAAATGCATGGTTGTAGTTCAGAAGTTTGCTTTTGGCATCGCCATTCGGTGCTGGCTTTACCTTACCAAAGGCATTTGTGATTGTTGTATGATATACTGTGGTAGTGTTGTGCGATTCGGCCGCCAGCTTGAATAGGGTTTTCTTCAAAGGCTAATTTGTAGAAAGGAGAAATTGCCTTCCTCGCAATGATTGCATTGCTGTTCAGTTTTTTAAGCAGTTTTGGGAAACAAAACCCACACAAACCCATATAACTGGATTATCGGCGGATCTAGAGACATTGTTGAGACTGCCACCAGTGAGTGAACGACGGAGAGCGAGAGACAGAAGAAATTACGACTTTATGGATTGTATCATCGATTGAGCAGAATTGGTTTTAAGTTAAAGTGTAAAAAAATATATTTTTAAAATAAGAGACTAATGGCTTACGCAAAGGCAAATTTTTCTTCTGCCTGACCGATTTGGACATCACGGTAGGAAGCTGTACTGATGATTCCTGCTCGGACCCGTATGCATAGTCCGGTGCGTGTTTACAGCTAAGGGATGAAAC